AACACTAGCATTCATGTGAGTCTTAAATGATACATCTTGTCGTCTTTGTGTAAATATACTGAAATTATTAACATATATTAGGGAGAACTAGACCAAGACTTAGTACTGTCATAGTGTTCAAAGATAAAGAACCATAGCAACACCAGTTAATATCCGGCCTGGAAATATACTCTTGATATATAACGAAGCAGATTCCTAGTTATTCAAGACACCACTAAAAAATACTCTTCTTCTCTATCTCGTTCGGTTTTCTCAAGAGACTATTTCATCTGTTTATTTCTGGTTCTTTAAGGTGAAATATATCCTTCGGGTACTGTGTGATAAGATAAAAGCTCTGCCAGACATTTTAGATAAATATGTGAGACGAAACCGCCCCCCTGCCCTAGTCATTTTATTACTCAAGGTTAAGGTATCGTACTCAGGGTAAGACGTTGTACTGAGGGAGTTTGTGTTATCGTACTCAAGGGTTAAGGTATCGTACTCCAGGGATTAAGACGTTGTACTGAGGGAGTTTGTGTTATCGTACTCAAGGGTTAAGGTATCGTACTCCAGGGATTAAGACGTTGTACTGAGGGAGTTTGTGTTATCGTACTCAAGGGTTAAGGTATCGTACTCCACGGATTAAGACGTTGTACTGAGGGAGTTTGTGTTATCGTACTCTAGGATTAAGGTATCGTACTCCAGGGATTAAGACGTTGTACTCCAGGGGTTGAGATGTTATACTATATTATGTTCTTCACGCCGGAGCTTAAACACACATTCTCCTCAAGAACAAACTTACCATATTTTCATCTCGTGAAGCTGAACAACATGAGACAAATTCTCTTCAGTAAGTTACAAAAGTTCGTATGTTAAATTCTTCCCCCGACCATCCCCCCTCACCACCCTCCCCCACCACTCCCCCTCACCACCCTCCACCACCCTCCCTTCACCACTCCCCCCACCACCTCCCCACCACCACTCCCCCACCACCACTCCCCCCACCACCACACCCCACCACTCCCCCACCACCATCCCTTCACCACCACTCCCCCACCACCACTCCCCCACCACCACTCCCCACCCTCTCCCCACCCTCCCCCCCCCACCACTCCCCCTCCCCCCCACCACCACTCCCCCACCACCACTCCCTCCACCATCACACCCCCACCACCACTCCCCCCACCACCTCCTTCTACCACTCCCACTCCGCCCTCCCACTCACCCACCCCTCACCACCACTCCTTCACCCACCCTCCCCCACCCCTTCACCCACCACTCCCCCAACCACCACTCCCACCACCACTCCCCACCACCACTCCCCCCACCACCCTCCCCACCACCCTCCCCCACCACCCTCCCCCCTCCCCCCACCCTCCCACCACTCCCCCACCACTCCCACCTCCACCCACCACTCCCCACCACCACCACTCCCCCCCACTATCCCAATATATCAGTATGTGAACACTTCCAATGTTTTTAAGCTCCACATAGACAGTTTCTCAGAGTTTCCTGCCTCATTAACCTCCTCTAGTTATAAACATTTAGGAATTTGTATCATTTAATTCTGCGGTCCAAGTTTACTTATACCAAGATGGCGGCGAATCTGTCTTGAGACTACTGAGTGTTGTTATAGTTCTTGTGGAATGAGAATCATCATCATCATCATCACTACCATCATCATCACACCATCATCATCACCACCATCATCATCATCATCATCACTACCATCATCATCATCATCATCACTACCATCATCATCATCATCATCATCACTACCATCAACACCATCATCACTACCATCATCATCATCATCACTACCCTTATTATCACCACCATCACCACCATCATCATCACCACCATCATCATCATCTCATCATCACTACCATCATCATCACTACCATCATCATACATCATCATCACATCATCATCATCCTTATTATCACCACCTCACCCCATCATCATCACCCATCCTCACATCACATCACCCATCACCACCATCATCATCATCATCATCACTACCATCATCATCATCATCATCACCACCATCATCATCACCACCTCATCACCACCATCACCACCATCATCATCATCATCCTCCTCCTCCTCATCATCATCACCACCACCACCACCACCACCATCATCACCATCATCATCATCACCATCCTCCTTCTCATCATCATCATCACCACCATCATCATCATCATCATCATCATCACTACCCTCATTATCACCACCATCACCACCACCATCATCATCATCCTCCTCCTCATCATCATCATCACCACCACCATCATCATCCACCATCATCACCATCACCATCATCATCATCACCATCATCATTAGGGCCGGATAGTTATGCACTAAAACAGAAATATGCATTTATATGCACTAAAAATGTCACTTATAAAGCCAAGAATGCAGGTTATACGGAAACAAAATATTTAATATAAACTAATGTTAATGTTTATTAAGCAATATACGTAATGTATTTAACATATATATATGTGAAAGTGCTTCAAAAATATATATGAACATGTATTTACATTATAGACTGACATATTTTCAGACATTACAGATTGTGGTTGCATTTGATGATGACATGGTAGCGTAAGTTCTCAAAGTTTAAAACCCCGCCTGTTGTCTGTCAGCATAGCTTTATATTCTGAGAACAGTCTTTCTACATCACACAGAACGATTGGTGGAACATGCAAATGATTGTTGCTCCTTTTGTGCACTATTGGACTTAACAGCTTCGAGTCGGATGTGCTTGCTTGTTTTAAGGTGTTGTTGGACTTGAAATTTCTTGCTCCTGTCACTGGTGCTTCACAATATTTACAAAACAGTACACTTCCATCAGTAGTAATGCATCAAATTCTTACCATATGATCGCACTTCATTTTGGTTTCTTTGTACTTTCGGCATTTTCTCGAGCAGCAGAAGAGTAGCTCCACACAGCAGCACTGCTCCTGACTGACTAACTCACTAGTCCAATGGGTCATGACCAGGTGTGAAACGACAGATTAAAGCGACGTGACCTCACCTCACTTCACCTAACCACACCTCACCTCACCTCCCAGTACCACGTGTGCTCATTCAGTGGCAACAAAGAGATACTGCCAGATGAATATTTTACCAAAATATGCATTTATATGCAGTTATCTAGGTAATATGCACTTATCATAGAAATCACGCAAAATATGCATTTGCATATGAAATATGCAAATGCATCACCATCATCATCACCATCATCATCATCACCATCATCAACTCCTCCTCCTCATCATCATCATCTACTACCATCCATCATCACCATCACCACCACCATCACCATCATCATCATCCTCCTCCTTCATCATCATCACCACCACCATCATCATCATCATCACTACTATCATCATCATCATCATCACATCATCATCATCATCTACCATCACCACCACCACCATCATCATCATCATCACCACCACCATCCTGTCACCACCACCATCACCACCACCATCATCATCATCACCACCATCACCACCATCATCACCACCACCACCACCATCATCATCATCATCAATCACCATCATCATCATCACCATCTCATCACCACCACCACCACCACCATCATCATCATCATCACTACACTCATCATTATGTAAATATCGTGTGTTGTTACAAGGAGTAGTACTTAACATATATCTACACAAGAAATATTGGTCAATTAACTAATAAGAACATTAACCTCACTCAAGCAGAGGGACACTCGCCTTAACCTTGAGAAGTGAGATGCAAATGAAGGATTAATTGGACACATCATATTTATCTCCACTAAAATTATACAACATACATGAATATAAAACTTGTTGTTGTGTGTGTGTGTGTGTGTGTGTGTGTGTGTGTGTGTGTGTGTGTGTGTTGTGTGTTACTACCTGTTCTCACGTGTGTCTCATCGTCATATAATATTAGAAAACATTAATTTATTACAATAAATTAAAAGTATTATTTCACAAAACAAAACTCAAATATTAATCACAAAATTTATTATTGCTAAAAGGATGATAATTTTTTCCTTAAACATGGAATCAGAGCTCACACTTCCTGCTCTCTCTCTCTCTCTCTCTCTCTCTCTCTCTCCTCTCTCTCTCTCTCTCTCTCTCCATATTTCATCTTGGGGTCGACTGATGACACGTCATTTGTCCGTGTCGTTTGTCGTTATTAGGAAGCTAATGCTGCCAGTCGTCTCATTATCCCCCCCATTAGCTGGAGTCATGGCTGTCTGTTTATGACCGTCATTTTGTCTGTCTGTCTATTTTTTTGGATTTTATTGGTGTTGGTTCTGTGTGTGTTGTGTGTGTGTGTGTGTGTGTGTGTGTGTGTGTGTGTGTCCTTCTTCTTCCTTAACACCATTTCCCATCCCTTACTCCCTCCATTCCTTACTCCCTCCCATCCTCTCTTGCCCTCCCCATCTTCCTCTTCTCGTGTCTCTTTTTCTCTGTTTTCATTCCACCTTCTCTTTTTCCTTATCATATCCATCTCTTTACTTCTTCTCCCTTCTACCCTTCTTCCCTCTCTATATCTCTCCCTTTTAGCCCATCCTTCCTTTTCACCTTTGATCTCACTTTCTTTCTCCCTCACTTCTGTCATCAATTAGGAATATGTTCAAGGCCTTTCCTTACCACACACACACACACACACACACACCACACACACACACACACACACACACACACACACACACTAAAAGAAAAATCTAATTGTCTTCACTCCCCTGCACATCTTGCTTCAGGGCTCACGTGGAGGCGAGAGGAGGTGCCTGGTGCCCCCGGAACATCATCTACAAGGAGGGGACGGAGTACCTGGAGGTTTACCTGGAGGAGGAACACGTGGTGACCAAGCTGGAGGTACAGGGCAGGTTTGGCAATGGTCAGGGAAGAGTTTGCCGAGAGGTACAAGTTGAGTACTGGAGGCCGGGACACGACCACTGGCTGACGTATACTGACGGCCGCCAGCAACGAGGTGGTCAGGAGTGTTGAGCTGACAGTGGGGTGAGTGTCAGGAGTGTTGAGCTGACAATGAGGTGGGTGTCAGGAGTGCTCAGCTGACAATGAGGTGGGTGTCAGGAGTGTTGAACTGACAATGAGGTGGGTGTCAGGAGTGTCTGCCGACAGTGAGGTGTCAGGAGTGTTGGCTGATAGGTTATCCCATAATGATAAAGTTATTTAACAAAGCCACTATGATGGCCAGTTCTCGTGTTCCTTGCCTCCATTTATAGCTGGTACAGTGGCTGGTGTTTTCTGTGAGACGTGACACCACCGCCCACCAAACAACAGATCAGGCGGGGGGGCTGGTTCTCTAGTACCTGGTCAGCACGCGCCCAGGATATGGAACAACTGTACCAAGGGCCTCACCATCCTATATATGAGTACAGTACGTTTTAGTTGTTATGAATAAGGTTTAGCATTTTGTAGATTATGTTTTTCGTGATATTTTTCCTAATCTGTGTGTCTGTCTCGGCGTTTCTGTCTCCTTGTTTGGCTTTTTCTATGTACAGTATAATTTGTGAAGCCTTGGTCAGATCTCTCTCTATGTCTCTATCAAATCCAACAGCCCCACTGCTACACTTCTCTGTGTCTGTCTCCCCCTCCTCCTCCACCACCCCACGGAGCCACACCCTCTCCCTCTCGCCACCACCCACCTCACGCTACTACACCCTCTTCCCCTCTCCACCACCACCCACCACCCCACGCTACTGCCTCTTCTTCCTCTACCACCCCACGCTACTGCCTCTTCCCTCTCCACCACCACCCACCACCCCACGCCACTGCCTCTTCTCTCTCCACCACCACCACACCACCCCACACTCTTCCCCTCTCACCACACCCACCACCCCACGCTACTGCACCCTCCTTCCTCACTCCAACCACCCCACGCTACTGCCCTCTTCCCCTCCACCACCACCACCACCCCACCTCACTGCCTCCCCTCTCCACCACCCACGCTACTGCACCCTCTTCTTCCTCCACCACCCCCTTCTGCCTCTTCCCTCTCCACCACCACCCACCACCCACCTACTGCACCTCTTCTTCCTCTCCACCACCACCACCACCCATGCTACTGCACCCTCCCCTCTCTCACCCACACCACCCACATACTGCACTCTCTCTCTTCACCACCACCCTTCTGCCTCCCCTCTCTTCACCACACCCACCACCCACCTACTGCACCCTCCCCTCTCTTCACCACCACCCACCACCCCACATGCCTCTTCTCCTCCACCACCACCCCACGCTACTGCACCTCCCCTCTCTCCACCACCCACCACCACCCCACGCTACTCTTCCTCCACCACCACCCCACACTACTGCCTCCCCTCTCCACCACCACCACCCACTACTGCACCTCTTCTCCACCACCACCCCACGCTACTACCTCTTCCCCTCACCACCACGTGCCTCCTCCATCACTGGGCCAGGTAGCTGAGACGCGCCATAAAAGTTGTCTTGGTATCCAGAGCTCATATGCCATTAGCGTACTTGGAATTTCGGTCTGACCATAAAAATACGACCATTGGATGTGACTTTTTGCTCGGGTTAATTTTTTTTTTCGCTCCAGAATCTTTGGAGTAGAAATGAAACTCGAAGAATGGCATTTTTTGGTGTTTTAAGTGGCCAGGGAACAATGTGAAATTTGTGATTCTCTCTTTACCTACGTGGCTGATATCTTTTTTTTTTATCTGTCTGTGTGTTTGTCTGTCTCTCTGTCTGTGAGTTTATGTCTGGTTGTCTGTCTGTCTGTCTGTCTCTCTTTGGGTAACTTGTGAGCTTCCATGATATAATATGGCGTATCTCTCTCTCTCTCTCTCTCTCTCTCTCTCTCTCTCTCTCTCTCCCCTCTCACTTCTCTCCCACAGTTATGCGGCAACGCAACACCTGCGCCCAGACCTCACAGTTAAGTCCGCCCATCATGTGGCCAGGGCCAGTTTGTCCCCTAGCGACCACGGGGCTGTCTGTATGAGAGTCGAGCTGTACGGCTGTCGCTATACAGGTCAGTTACTGCTATACACCTCACTTACTGCTGCTATACACCTCACTTAATGCTGCTATACACTTCACTTACTGCTGCTATACACCTCACATAATGCTATACAGGTGCAGCTCACTTACTGCTCTACAGGTCAGTTACTGCTATACACATCTCACTTGCTTCTATACACCTCACTTAATGCTATACACCTCACTTACTGCTATACAGGTCACTTAATGCTATGCACCTCAATTGCTGCTAAACAGGTCACTTACTGCCATACAGGTCACTTACTGCAATCCGGGTCACTTACAGCTATACAGGTCACTTACTGCTAAACAGGTCACACTGCTATACAGGTCACCTGCCATACAGGTCACCTGCAATCCGGGTCGCCACAGCTACACAGGTCGCCTGCTAAATAGGTCGCTTCTACACGGGTCACTTACTGCCATACAGGTCACTTGCAATCCGGGTCACAGCTATACAGGTCACTTACTGCAAACAGGTCTTACCTCATACAGGTCACCAAACAGGTCACTTACAGCTACACAGGTCCTTACTGCTACACAGGTCACTTACTGCTATACAGCTCACTTACTGCAATCCGGGTCGCTACAGCTATACAGGTCACTTACTGCTAAACAGATTACAGCTACACAGGTCACTGCTAAACAGGTCACTACAGCTATACAGGTCACTTACTGCTAAACAGGTCTTACAGCTACACAGGTCACTTACTGCCATACAGGTCACTTACTGCTATACAGCTCACCTGTCGGGTCACTTACTATACAGGTCTTACTGCTAAACAGGTCACTTACAGCCACAGGTCACTTACTGCTAAACAGGTCACTTACAGCTACACAGGTCACTTACTGCTAAACAGGTCACTTACAGCTCACAGGTCTTACTGCTATACGGTCACTTACAGCTACACAGGTCCTTACAGCTACACAGGTCATTACTGTAGGTCACTTACAGCTACACGGGTCACTTGCCTTTGGAGTCTTACTGCTATACAGGTCACTCTTCAGTCACTTACAGTACACAGGTCACTGCTAAACAGGTCACTCACAGCTACAGGTCACTTACTGCTAAACAGGTCCTTACAGCTATACAGGTCACCCCACTGCTGTACAGGTCACTTACTGCTAAACAGGTCCTTACAGCTACAGGTCTTGCACTAAACAGGTCACTTACAGCTATACAGGTCTTACCTTAAACAGGTCACTTACCTACACAGGTCACTTACAGCTACACAGGTCTGCTGCTATCAGGTCTACAGCTACACAGGTCACTTACAGCTACACAGGTCTTACTGCTATACAGGTCACTTACAGCTACAGGTCACTTACAGCTACACAGGTCACTTGCACTGCTATACAGGTCTTACTGCTATACAGGTCACTTACTGCTATACAGGTCACTTACAGCTACACAGGTCACTTACAGCTACACGGGTCTTACTGCTATACAGGTCACTTACTGCTATACAGGTCACTTACTGCTATACAGGTCACTTACATTTGAGTCTTACTGCTATACAGGTCACTTACTGCTATGTGCAGGTGCTTTACTGCTATACAGGTCACTTAGCTAAACAGGTCTTACAGCTATACAGGTCTCTTACTGCTATCAGGTCACCCACAGCTACATTCACACAACTACACAGGTCACTTACTGCTACAGGTCACTTACTGCTATACAGGTCTTACTGTTCTCCTGGGTCACTTACCTACCTGGTCACTTACTGCTATACAGGTCACTTACAGCTACAGGTCCTTACTGCTACAGGGTCTTCACAGCTATACAGGTCTTACCTTCTGGGTCATACTATCTGGTCCTTACAGTATACAGGTCACTTACAGCTACACAGGTCTTACTGCTACAGGTCTTACAGCCATACAGGTCTTACAGCTACACAGGTCACTTACAGCTACACAGGTCACTTGCTACAGGTCATTACAGCTTCAGTTCAGTTTGGGAAGACAGTCAATATGTCCTGGACGTGAGGTGAAAGTCTTCACCTTTTAGTACTGATAGTTAACACAGTACTTCTCCCCGCCCCCATTAGTAGTGGAGTAGTTAACGCAGTATCTCTCCCGCCTCATTAGTAGTGGAGTAGTTAACACAGTACCTCTCCCCGCCCCCATTTGTACTGAGTAGTTAACACAGTACCTCTCCCGCCCTCCATTAGTAGTGAAGTAGTTAACACAGTACCTCTCCCCTCCCCCATTAGTACTGAAGTTGTTAACACAGAATTCCTCCCCTCCCATTAGTACTGAAGTTGTTAACACAGTACCTCTCTCCGCCCATTAGTACTGAGTAGTTAACACAATACCTCTCCCCCCCCCCATTTGTACTAGTAGTTAACACAGTACCTCTCCCTGTCCCCCCATTAGTACTGAAGTTGTTAACACAGTACCTCTCCCCCCCCCCATGTACTAGAGATTTAACACAGTACCTCTCCCCCCATTACTATTAGTAGTTAACACAGTACCTCTCCCTCCCCCATTAATATGAAGTTGTTAACACAGTACCTCTCCCCGCCCCCATTTGTACTGAGGTTGTTAGCACAGTACCTCTCCTCTACCCATTAGTAGTGAAGTAGTTAACACAGTACCTCTCCCCGCCCCATTAGTACTAGTAGTTAACACAGTACCTCTCCCCTCCCAATGGTAGTGATAGTTAACACAGTACCTCTCCCTCCCCCATTAGTAGTGAAGCAGTTAACACAGTCCTCTCCCCCCATTAGTAGTGGAGTAATTAACACAGTACCTCTCCCCCCCCATTAGTAGTGAGTAGTTAACACAGTACCTCTCCCCTCCCCCATTAGTAGTGAAGTAGTTAACACAGTACCTCTCCCCTCCCCCCATTAGTAGTGAAGCAGTTAACACAGTACCTCTCCCCTCCCCCCCATTATGTGTAGTGTTAGTACCCCTCCCCCCATTTATAGTAGTGTTTGTCCCTCTCCCCGCCCCCCATTAGTAGTGGTAGTAACACAGTA